TTGCCACAGTTTGGCGGCCTTTGGAGGGCACCCGATCCCAGGGATACAAGCTACATGTACTAGGTGTCTGGCAAAAATTCGTTCCCGGACAATCCACATGGAGGTTTCAAGCGGCGGTTAATCTCCGAATGGAGATTCCTCTGGAAATACCTACTTTCGCGAGTAAACATCATTTTCGGGAGATGTGTTCTGCACATGTACTAGTGGATTTTGACACGCCTTTCAGGGTGCAAGTCTGGCGAGGCTTCTGGTCTTCGATCGCCAGACTTGCCGCGTCCTGGATGTCCAGCGGAGACAGCGGGACGAGGCACGAGCGTGAGGCCAACATTACCAGCAAACCTTTTGCCCTTTTGACCATTTCATTCTGGTTTTGGTTCTGCTTCATATGACCTTTTGGGTTTTCTTCATTTCCCTTTTCACCAAAGGCTAACTTTCGCAGCTCGAACTCTGTCCAAAACAGGTGGAATGGATGCGACCCTCTCAAAAGAGGACTATACAAAGGTATACGCCCCAAGACTGGATCTTTTGGGTGTCAACCTGTCAACCTCGGAAGCTCGGGCATCAGACAAGGCTCTGTAAGACTGCTGTCGGATTTGGAAGGGGAGGGGGGACTTATTTGTTTCCTTGGGGTCCCAAGTTCCCCTTTTGTGGGCAAACGCAATTGAGAGCTGTCTCTCCCCCTCTCGCTCCCTCCCGGCCTCCCTCGCTCCACGTGTCAGGTGGAGATCGACCGTTACGGCAACAAGAGGCTAGCTCCGGGCATTCGGGTTGCATGCCGTAAACGTCGACCAAACCACAAGGTAGAACAAAAATGGCTGGTGCCAGAGATGCAGGGAATGAGGGAATGACCCGTATAAGCCATCCAACTGGTGGTTTCCTTTAATGGGGACGCTAGGTTCATTTCCTCATTCCCTACGGCTGTTTCAACGAAACCTACCATGAACGCACATAGGCACGCGGTGAAGACTCAGAGGCGTCAAGGGAAGCGGAAAGCCTTTGATAGTTTTCACAAATTTTACGACCTGCCCAAAGGTGCCATTGGTGCGAAGAAGTTGGTTCGAAGAAGTGCTGCCTAGGTGTTGATTGGAACGGTCTTGCACCTTTTTGTCAAAGATGAGATACAATGATGGTTGCCTTTATTTTACACAAGCATGAGCTTCACAGGTTCCCTATTGGGTTGGTTTGAACACAGATGTCACCTTCAGCTTGGTCCATTCATGTATCAGGGGAACCCGTCTAACTGTAAGGTCACCATGGCTGCAGACACGACGGGGCGGTTCAGCCAGTATGGCTCCATGTGGTACACTTGAGTTGGCCGGAAGGAATCCCCGGCGCATAGTGACTTCACCATGCGGTTGCCAACCTCGAATATCAAAGCTCATGATGATCTTGAGTCGGGGTTGAACTAAAAATATGGCTTTTTATTCAGAGTGGCCCTTGAAGATGTGTCAACCTTAGAAACACATTGGCAAACAACATGTTAAGTGAGTTTCACAAGCTGCTGACAGCCAACGTATTTTTGGGTTGGTCCTTCGACTTGCTTGCATATTCCTGAGTTGGGCACTGGTACGTACTATGGCGTGCTGAGTGTTTTCCGAGGCTTTAAGCATTGCATGTTTTGGGCGGAGAGCAGACGAACTCGAAGCCCCGGTGTTGCCCAAAACCCTCCGGACATCTGATCTGAGGGAAGTGTCTTGAAATCTTTGCCGAGTTTCTACTTGAATTCGCCAGATTCTGCTTGACTCTGGGGTGAGCATAACCATAGGCATTTTGTTAGGTCAGTTTCGCCTGGTTGAAAATAGATGAATTCTGCTGGTTGTTCACTTGCTTCTAAGTTTCTACATTCGTTACATATCGGGGGTACCCGTCTATTTGTCCAAAGGACACCTAAGGAAGAAGTGTTTTGTCTCAAGTCGGTGAGCCTTCCAAAAGTCCATGGCTTCTTTTAAGTTTCTCGGTGCACAAAGGGAAGCCTTAAGACAAGGCACACCCAAGCGGATGGTTCAAAGAGCTGCGTCTCTTCCTGTTTTCAAGTCCACACCCTCCCAACATGGAAGCTGACCGGGGGCCCGTGTCAAGCGGAACATGTTCCAGGGGCCTCCAGGTACGTGAAACGTGGGAGAACCGTTCCCCCAATTTGCGATCGATGTGGCTTTCAGAACAGCTGATCAACAAATGTCCAGTGCTTCTTTCCCGTTTTCGCTGAGATGACGGGTATATCTTTTCGAGGGTGCTCTATTTTTTCCGAGAAAACCAGCAACACCCACGTTTTTTGGGGTCCCCCTTTTTTCGCTCACACAGCACACCCATGTGGGTTTGTCTCAAAACAGGGGACCCCCAAAAATGGGTGGTTTCCTTGGGTTCCTTTTAAAATGACCCCAAAAAGGGTCGCCTCAAAAAAAAAGACGAGCCAGCCAAAAGGGGTCGCCTCAAAAAAGGACGAGCCAGCCATGTGTCCCTCGTTGGGCCGTGATTTGGCTGTGGGTCAAAACCAATGGTACCATTTTGAGGTAGGTGAATTCACCACCCATGTTAGGCTTTATTTTAGTGGTTGGATTGAATCGGATGTTCACTGGGGGCTAACCGATTTGGCTTTTGACCCATGGCCATTTGATCCCTTGGGTTCCCTTGGTTTTCCTTGGGTTCCCTTGGTTTTTTTTGGGTTTCCTTGGGTTCCCTTGGGTCTTTGGATTCCTTCGGTTCCTTTTAAAATGACCCCAAGGGTCGCCTCAAAAGACGAGCCGCGCTTTTGGTGCTCCGCGTGTGCTTCGCTGCCGGCAGGCTGCTCTTCTCCTCCGCGGGGATTCACCCCGCAGAGGTCACCACCTCGCGACTTGGGCGATGGGAAGGTTGAGGGAAGGGCTTGGGCCAAATGGGCGGCGAGTTTTTGTTCTTCTCCGGGGGTTGGAGACAAAGGCCGCGCTGAACCTGCAAGGGGGAAATCACTTTCTTGTTTTTTTTCTCGGGGGGTGTGGGAAGAACCGGCCGCGCCGCTGCCTACGGGGAACAAAAACAGCACTAAGATGAGGGTTTTGCCTTTTGGTTTCCTGAAAAAAACATGTTAAGCCAAAAGTGGGGAGCCACAAGACACACGCACACACACACACACCAGTGGCTCGTCTGGGTCTTTTCAGGATTCGGACCAAAATGGCACAACGGCTGTCCTTAAAAGGTTAAGCTTTTGGTACTCACAAACAAAGACGAGCCACCGAAATCTCCGTTGGCCACGACTGTTTAGGCCACTGTATAAATTATATAAACAACCTGCGTTGGGTTTTGAAGGGAGAGCAGAATGGTTTGGGAGCTAACCAAGGCCGGTCTTGACTGGCCTTTTCATATATTTTTTGTTAGGCCCTTTTTGGGCTTCCTCATTTTGAAACTCTTGGGACACGACCCCAAAGGAGATGCTCGCAATCTCCATCTCCGATTTTCCATCCCACTGACCGAGTAGAGGCCCCAAGACTTCGCAAGCAGCAATTTTTGGCGCCTTCTACTAGGTCAGTGGGGAGTTCCTCAAAATGGGATTTGACCCCTTTTGTTTGGTATTTGAGGGAAACCACCAGGAAACCGTGGCCATTGTAGAGGATCGATTCCTATTTGATAAAGAGCCAGTGAGCGGCGTCAACAGAGTCAATCAAAGCGAGAGGGAGATGGGGATGCGTAAAAAACCGGTGTTCACATCAATTTCTTAGTTTCAGCCACAAGGGGCACCCTCAACGCACACGCACACAAACTACTTCCGCGAGATGAAGCCCGCCTTGACTATGTGCCACGTCAATACTTATATGAGCATCTTCGAGGGAACACAGGCAGTCGTTCAAGCGGCGCACGACCTTCTCATTGCCAGCCCAAGCCCACAAGAGGGCGGTGATGCCATGACAACGTAATTTGTGGCAGACGATGTCTGAGCGACGGCAGTGGTTACCAACCTGTTGCTTCTGAAGTCATGACATCATTTGGTTTTTAGAGTAACCAAATCGCATGACGATCGTCCCGGTCTGCTCAAAGAGCCGACATAATGCCATTAAGAACTCAGAGGTAAACTGGAAATGACCCCTTTATTCCTTGGAATGATGCGAGAGAACCATTTGCCCGGAATCATCGTTCCACCACCTTGTGGCTATGCAGAATTCCCGCTTGCGAATCCAAGCAAAAATCACGCTTCCATCGTTTAGTGCAATTCTCGCTCCAAACAAGCATTTTGGGGATTGAGCAACACCTGTTGGGGACTCTGTTTTTGAACCCCCAACCAGTTTTTGGGCCCAGCAGCCCCAATTTCTTGGGCCCAGAGACCAAAAAGGTGAAATAGGCCAAACATGTGTGGGGTTGCCCAGCAAACCTGTTGGGGACTCTGTTGTTTTGAATCCCCAGTCGCCCAGAAACCAAAAAGGTAAAGTAGGAGCTTCCACCACCTAGGTGTCCTTTTTGGTTGTTTTGGCCAAAGAACAGATGTCCTGGTTTACCAGGTGGTTTACTCATCCAGGGAAACCCATCGATTTCCCCCAAGAGGACACCTCTGCTCCACCCCGAGTCGGAAAAACCCCGCGCCGTGGCCGGTCCGAGATGGCCGCTGGAAGAAGCGCCGCACTGCTGCGCAATGGGAGGCGCAATCGGCGGATCCGGGCGGGGGAGGTCCGGATGGAGAAACTCCCACGACTGCACCTAGGTGGTTTGACCGGGTACTTGCAAGGGTTTCATGGAAGGCCAGAGTGCTTTTGTTGTTTTTGTTTTGTTTGTGTTTTTGTGGGGGGTTTTCTGGAGCAGGTGGAGAGAATCCCACTTTGCACCTAGGTGGTTTCTCCGGGTAAGGGGTTCATATCCATCACTCAAGGGTTTTCTCCATGCTTGTTGCATCTTGCCAAGGGATGTTAGGACTGAACAACTTTTGGCAACTAATGCTTCGGTTTTCCGTATTAAACCACTAAAAGTTAAACTTTTAGAGGGGAGCTCAAAGCAACCAAGGCTGCTAGGTGGTTTCTCCGGGTATTCCAAGGGTTTCATATCCATCGCTCAAGGGTTTTCTCCAATCGACGCGCGCAGCGCAAGTCCTACTCAAGGGTTGTCTCCATGCACATCGCTAGTCTATAGAGTTTCCCAATCAAGGTTGTCTTGGGATGGAAGAACTTCGACACCCTCCTTTTCCGCGAGAAACTATTGGCATCCGGGACTGGGGGGATCGACTCATGGTTTGCGAATGTGCGTCGTGTCTCGGTAGTTTCAGAAAGGAACGCAAGAGCTTGTCCAGTGTTGTCTTCGGAGCTACAGTAGAAGCAGCCACTCTCCGCACGAATCTGCTGTGAGATGAAGTGACTGTTGCCTCACCTGGAAAGCACTTCTTTTGCGCACCGGACACGAAAGTCAAAATCCAAGACAATTACAAAAGTGCTTCCGATGCACACTGGTTGCTATGTGACTATGCGTCCCAGCCAGTTGACCCCCTGCCACCGGCGCCTTCACGCTGCGTTGCTTCGTGAGCTGGGAGGCGACCGGATTTAGAGATTCGATGTCCATCCGGGGAAGTGAAGGAGGGGTTCTGAGCGATTTCCCCCAAACAAACAGAGCTCAGGATTAAATGTCTATATATATATATAAATGTATACACAGTGTATACATTATATATATATGGGTATGTGTCGAACTAGGGGGACCTCCGAAAGGGTATCTTTCAATTTGGTTTGCCTTGAAACCGAGCAAACCTGATCAAACAGAGAGCCCTGTGAGCTTCGCGCAGCGCGCTCCGTCGCAGTGCGCTCCGTCCCCATGACCCGACTAGCTCGAGCGGAGGTGGTGCGACTAGCTCTGAGCTCACGGTTGGAGTCCAGCCCCAGCCGTGAGTCGAAGCTCCCAACGCAAGGCCCAGGTGCTAGAGGACCCCAGGAGCGGGTGTAACAACGAACACATCTTTTTGGGAACATGTAAAAAAAACAAAAACAAGTAAGACCATGACCCATGTGACATTGCTCCTTGGCAAGGGGTGTACGTAGCCTCCACACTTGGGATGTTTTTTATCAACTTAGCAAGTAGCTTTGTCAACCAACCCCGGGAGTGCTACATATCTGGTTGTGGGTCAAAACAAATGGGATCCCATTTTGGGGGTAGGTGAATTCACCACCCATTTTAGGTTTCCTATTTTAGTGGTTGGATTGAATCGGATGTTCACTGGGGGCTAACCGATTTGGCTTTTGACCCATGGCCATTTAATTTGTTGACTGATTTCGCTTGCCCCTTTTGTTCTTTTTTTGTGTTCTTTTGCTAGGTCCCCCAGTAGTGCCCTTTTACCCTTTTTTGGGGAAGGGTTTTGTTCCCTTCTCGCCAAGACGTGCGCTTGAAATGGCCGGGAGGCATCGTGGCAGCGCGGCCCAGTGGACTCAGCCGGGCTGCTGAGCAGGGTTTAGCCGTGAGCGGGTCTGCGTCAAGGATCCTGGTCCGGGACGAGGCAATCAAAGAGACATGGTTCTTGTTGGGAAACCTTTCACATTTTTGCTTATTAAGGTTTAGTTTGTTGAAAATAACACCACTTAACTGCTAAAGTTTAATTGTTTGCTCTCCTTCCAAAGTCAATCAAGGGGAGGGACAAGGATCTTGGTCCCTAGAGTTGACGGTTGAAACAAGGGATTGAAGGCCTATTCCGGATGTGTGCCAGTTGTGCCAGTTGTGGTTTCCAGGAAAAGGCAGCTTCTCGAATCCCCAGGAAGGGCGATTTGAGCCCGTGCTTAATGAGGCCCTTTTAGGGTCTAGCAATGCCCTAAGCCTTTTTCGGGATTTCCGCTCCTTGGCCACCTGGCCACAGGATGTTGACCCCTGTTGGCCAAGTTGCAGAACTGAAGGGGCGTTTATCAGACCAAGATGCCTCTTGAATCTGATATGAAGAACACTGAAAACATACCAGGAATAAGGAACGACCGTGTTTTGCACAGGTATCGGTATGGGGCCCAGGCAGCCCGAGCCCGGCAATCGGACAAGCTTGACGAATTGAAGATCTAGGTCACTGGAAGATCTTACGTGGCTGGGCTTTCATGTCATGCCATGATTGCATTTATTATTATTATTTTGATGCTTGACTTTAGAGCCTCCGGCTCAGTCCGCCGACATTGTCCTCTCCCTTTTCTCCTTCTTCCTCTCTTCCTTGTCTCCCTTGTGTGTTCTGTCGTCCTCTCTCCCTCCCTCTGCTCCCATCCTCCCCATCCCCCCAAGCCTCTCTCTCCCCAATCTCCCTCTCTCGTATGTATGCATGCATGTACATATGTATGTATGTATGTATGTATGTATGTATGTATGTATGTATGTATGTATGTATGTATGTATGTATGTATGTATGTATGTATGTATGTATGTATGTATGTATGTATGTATGTATGTATGTATGTATGTATGTATGTATGTATGTATGTATGTAATGTAATGTGTAATGTATGTATGTATGTATGTATGTATGTATGTATGTATGTATGTATGTATGTATGTATGTATGTATGTATGTATGTATGTATGTATGTATGTATGTATGTATGTATGTATGTATGTATGTATGTATGTATGTATGTATGTATGTATGTATGTATGTATGTATGTATGTATGTATGTATGTATGTATGTATATGTATGTATGTATGTATGTATGTATGTATGTATGTATGTATGTATGTATGTAATGTAATGTAATGTATGTGTAATGTAATGTAATGTAATGTATGTATGTATGTATGTATGTATGTATGTATGTATGTATGTATGTATGTATGTATGTATGTATGTATGTATGTATGTATGTATGTATGTATGTATGTATGTATGTATGTATGTATGTATGTATGTATGTATGTATGTATGTATGTATGTATGTATGTATGTATGTATGTATGTATGTATGTATGTATGTATGTATGTATGTATGTATGTATGTATGTATGTATGTATGTATGTATGTATGTATGTATGTATGTATGTATGTATGTATGTATGTATGTATGTATGTATGTATGTATGTATGTATGTATGTATGTATGTATGTATGTATGTATGTATGTATGTATGTATGTATGTATGTATGTATGTATGTATGTATGTATGTATGTATGTATGTATGTATGTATGTATGTATGTATGTATGTATGTATGTATGTATGTATGTATGTATGTATGTATGTATGTATGTATGTATGTATGTGTAATGTAATGTAATGTAATGTAATGTAATGTAATGTAATGTAATGTAATGTAATGTAATGTAATGTAATGTAATGTAATGTAATGTATGTAATGTAATGTAATGTAATGTAATGTATGTATGTATGTATGTATGTATGTATGTATGTATGTATGTATGTATGTATGTATGTATGTATGTATGTATGTATGTATGTATGTATGTATGTATGTATGTATGTATGTATGTATGTATGTATGTATGTATGTATGTATGTATGTATGTATGTATGTATGTATGTATGTATGTATGTATGTATGTATATGTATGTATGTATGTATGTATGTATGTAATGTATGTATGTATGTATGTATGTATGTATGTATGTATGTATGTATGTATGTATGTATGTATGTAATGTATGTATGTATGTATGTATGTATGTATGTATGTATGTATGTATGTATGTATGTATGTATGTATGTATGTATGTATGTATGTATGTATGTATGTATGTATGTATGTATGTATGTATGTATGTATGTATGTATGTATGTATGTATGTATGTATGTATGTATGTATGTATGTATGTATGTATGTATGTATGTATGTATGTATGTATGTATGTATGTATGTATGTATGTATGTATGTATGTATGTATGTATGTATGTATGTATGTATGTATGTATGTATGTATGTATGTATGTATGTATGTATGTATGTATGTATGTATGTATGTATGTATGTATGTATGTATGTATGTATGTATGTATGTATGTATGTATGTATGTATGTATGTATGTATGTATGTATGTATGTATGTATGTATGTATGTATGTATGTATGTATGTATGTATGTATGTATGTATGTATGTATGTATGTATGTATGTATGTATGTATGTATGTATGTATGTATGTATGTATGTATGTATGTATGTATGTATGTATGTAATGTATGTATGTATGTATGTATGTATGTATGTATGTATGTATGTATGTATGTATGTATGTATGTATGTATGTATGTATGTATGTATGTATGTATGTATGTGTATGTATGTATGTATGTATGTATGTATGTATGTATGTATGTATGTATGTATGTATGTATGTATGTATGTATGTATGTATGTATGTATGTATGTATGTATGTAATGTATGTATGTATGTATGTATGTATGTATGTATGTATGTATGTATGTATGTATGTATGTATGTATGTATGTATGTATGTATGTATGTATGTATGTATGTATGTATGTATGTATGTATGTATGTATGTATGTATGGTATGTATGTATGTATGTATGTATGTATGTATGTATGTATGTATGTATGTATGTATGTATGTATGTATGTATGTATGTATGTATGTATGTATGTATGTATGTATGTATGTATGTATGTATGTATGTATGTATGTATGTATGTATGTATGTATGTATGTATGTATGTATGTATGTATGTATGTATGTATGTATGTATGTATGTATGTATGTATGTATGTATGTATGTATGTATGTATGTATGTATGTATGTAATGTATGTATGTATGTATGTATGTATGTATGTATGTATGTATGTATGTATGTATGTATGTATGTATGTATGTATGTATGTATGTATGTATGTATGTATGTATGTATGTATGTATGTATGTATGTATGTATGTATGTATGTATGTATGTATGTATGTATGTATGTATGTATGTATGTATGTATGTATGTATGTATGTATGTATGTATGTATGTATGTATGTATGTATGTATGTATGTATGTATGTAATGTATGTATGTATGTATGTATGTATGTATGTATGTATGTATGTATGTATGTATGTATGTATGTATGTATGTATGTATGTATGTATGTATGTATGTATGTATGTATGTATGTATGTATGTATGTATGTATGTATGTATGTATGTATGTATGTATGTATGTATGTATGTATGTATGTAATGTAATGTAATGTAATGTAATGTAATGTAATGTATGTATGTATGTATGTATGTATGTATGTATGTAATGTATGTAATGTATGTATGTAATGTAATGTAATGTAATGTAATGTAATGTAATGTAATGAATGTATGTATGTATGTATGTATGTATGTACTGTATGTATGTATGTATGTAATGTAATGTAATGTATGTATGTATGTATGTAATGTAATGTATGTATGTATGTATGTATGTATGTATGTATGTATGTATGTATGTATGTACGTACGTATGTATGTATGTAATGTATGTATGTATGTATGTATGTATGTATGTATGTATGTATGTATGTATGTATGTATGTATGTATGTATGTATGTATGTATGTATGTATGTAATGTATGTATGTAGTGTATGTATGTATGTATGTATGTAATGTATGTATGTATGTATGTATGTATGTATGTAATGTATGTATGTATGTATGTATATATGTAATGTAATGTAATGTAATGTAATGTAATGTAATGTAATGTATGTATGTATGTATGTATGTATGTATGTATGTATGAATGTATGTATGTATGTATGTATGTATGTGTGTATGTATGTCTGTAATGTATGTATGTATGTGTGTATGTATGTATGTAATGCATGTGTGTATGTATGTATGTAATGTATGTATGTATGTATGCATGTATGTATGTATGTATGTATGTATGTATGTAAGCATGCATGCATGTATGTATGTATGCATGTATGTATGTATGCATGTATGCATGTATGTGAGTATGTAAGTGAGTAAGCAAGTAAGTAAGTAATGTAATGCATGTAATGTATGTACGTATGTATGTATGTGTGCATGCATGCATGCATGCATGCATGCACACATACATGTATGCATGTATGTACGTATGTATGTAATGTATGTATGTATGTATGTAATGTCAGGTGATGTCATGTAATGTGATGTAATGTAATGTAATGTAATGTGATGTAATGTACTGTAATGTACTGTAATGTATGTATGTATGTATGTATGTATGTATGTATGTATGTATGTAATGTATGTATGTATGTATGTATGTATGTATGTATGTATGTATGTATGTATGTATGTATGTATGTATGTATGTATGTATGTATCCTTGCACTTCCCCTTCGCTCCCGAGTATTTCCCGCAAAAAAACACGGTTTTTCCAGCGTTTTCGCAAAGAGGACGTCCAAAAACATTGAGTTGTTCCAGATTTTCGGCAAAAGGAGGCAGGAAGCCCAAGCCAGCAAAAAAGCCGGCAGGGGGAATCGAGCCTGGGACCCCTGTTTTGGGCTTCCCGAAGACTACGTTTAGTGGAACGTCATCAAATTGCCGCGCGGTACGTGGTACGTAATAGACGTCGGGCGGGGGGGGGTTAGGGGGGGGGGTATCCTCTATCGTCTGGTAAGTATCCGACACGCCGAGCAATGTCGGCGGGTTTTCACGCAGGGAGGTTCCCTGCACTCTCCCCTTCAAACTTTACCCGGACACATGATGCCTCCCAAGAATAATACAAACACGAAGATAAGCAAGGATGCCAAGCAGCCGGGGAGACCTTCTTGAAGCAGATTCCTTTTCCCAACGGCTTCGCGGGTTAGGTCATGTTGGGCTCGCCTTTCGTCGCGTGCCTATATGGCGAACAGACACGTGCCTATATGGCGAGCAGACATGCCTCACTCACAAGAGCGGTTCGCAACCGAACATGGACTAAAGTGTACAACTTGCAGCGGCCAAACGAGCTTCTTAATGAATAATCTTTCTAAAGCGCTTCCACGGTTCAAGTCAACGAACTATAGTAGTTTGTGCAGATCAACGAATCCGAACTCACACCGAAGTTGGTCGCGGATTTCTGATTTGGGCCTGCCTTTGCCCAATTTGCACGCGCATCAAACTGTGAGCGAGCTGCCAGAGATAGCCATGAGCAGGACCTCTCTTTTTAGCCTTTTTGGGTTGGTTTGGTTAGAAATAGATGGCACTGGTTTAGATTATGTTTATTCCATTTACCAGGGCCATCCAAAAGGTAGCCTAGGACCGGCATAGAGATGCTATGCACCTCGCAAGTGGTTGGTTTCATGTTGGCTTGTAGTCAAGGAGTCCCGAAAGTTGACATCGATCCCATCCAGCGGTTGCGACTTGGTTGTGACCAGGGGTTGTACGCCAACCTGCCCCACATAAACAACATGATTATCGTTGCATGATGCAAGTTTCTACATCCCTCACACACACATACTGATATTCACAGATTTATGCGGGGGGGAAAAAGAAAAACATATTCCATCTGTGTACTATTTCTTGCGAGATCTGACTCCGGATCGTGGCCTTTACTCCACCGTCGCCTCGCGGAAGACCATTTTGTACAATACAAGCCAATGAAAGGTTGCGCCACCAGACTGGACCTTAAGATAAACCTCACAGGAGCAAACCAATAGAAAGGTAACGGGCTCAAAAAGCCCCGAAGGCTGAAGGGGTCATAATTCTGCTTTGGGTGTGTCGTTTAAGGTTGGACCCCGAACCCCAACAAATTGTGGCATCCTGTTGGTTTCCTCTTAGCACCACAAGAAAGGGCAACAAAAAGATACTCCCCTTCGACCCCCCCCAAAAAAATGTGGTTTTCCTGTTGGTTTCCCTTTATAACCACCAAACAAGGGGTACCAACTCCAAAAAAACAGACTCCCCTTTGACCCCTCAAATCGCGGTCTTCCTTTTGGTTTTCCCTTTAAAACCACAAAGGGGTGCCAACTCCTATAGAATCACTCACCTTTGACCCCCCGAAAAATTGGGGTTTTCGTGTTGGTCGTCCTTCAAAACAGCCAACAGAATTTTTTTTTTTTTTTTTTTTTTTTTTTTCTTTTTTTTTTTTTTTCGGGGGTCTGGGGAACTTCCTGAACCGGCGCTTGGGTCGCCGCTGGCCATGCTAAGGCTCCTGCGCGCTGCAGTGGCTGGACCGCTCTATTTTGCGATTCGATCGAACCTCGGGGGCCGGAGAAACGGCTTTGAAGCGGCTCCCCAAAAAAAATTTTTGTTGCCCGCGGCTTCAAATGGGCAGCAAAGCTTCGAGTACAAACTCTGCAAAGCTTTTTGTTTGTTGAATTTTAGGCTCTTTTGTAGAGTTTGTAGACTCCACGAATGGTCGGGGTTGGATTTTTGCAGTCGATGGCTGTGTCTTGAAATGCTGCACTTGGCCGTGCTTGCTTTGGGCAGTTCGTTGCGCGACCCCTTTGGAAAGCTGCTTCGTGCTTTGTCAACCCAGTTGCGGGTTGCCTGAATAGTAAGTCACCTTGTTTGATCGCAGGGATTTCAGTTTGTTTCCAATGCACCCTCGCCATCTATGTGTCCAAAGGCCTCCACATCTCTACATTCCTCAGGTTTAGGCCTTGATTGGTGGTTTGGACTGCGCTGGGCCTCGACTCATCACATCTCCCTGTAAGTGACCCTGGTGGTACGAAAGGGAGCCCTTTGGAGCACTTTTGGTTGATCCCAACTCAAACAGAAAGTGCGGAAGTGGAATCCGTCGAGCCTGACAGATCAGCAGTGGAAACGTATAAAAAGCTTAAACAGATTGGGGTTTCAAGGTTCCGGGCGATGGACGAAAAGGTCTAGGTTTACCAGAGGAATTCAGCTTCCTCGCTGGTTTGGTGGCTTTGGGGTTAGGGGGCGGTTTCCCTTTTAACCTCTACAAAAGCACGCCTTGGATGGCAACATCGGGTGTGTCTGTTTGAGGCTACCCTTCCCACAGAAGGTTTAAAGGGATATGTAGAAGACCCCCAAGGCTGTCCCCCTAATTATACTGCCTGATGAATCATTGCCATCTCCAGTGGAAAATCAAACACGGGTATGGGTCAGAGTTCAACCACAAGGGCACCGCAGGTTTTAGTCCTTGGTTCCATTTACCAGGGTTCCATTTTTTGTACCCATTTTTGACCCACAGCCACATCATTTCCTTTTGCCTTCCTCAACTCAGTCCTCTTGGCCAGAAGGCTCGGCAAAGTTGAAACCGCCGCCTTCCATGGAATCGGGGTGAACCCGGGACCATGTTGGGGGTCCTTATTTCTCTTGGGGAAACACGTCAACTCAGGGTCCTCAAGCCTGGCCAAGAGGGGAAGACTGGAAGATTCCAAGGCCCCCAGAAGCCTGGCCAGGTCAAGCTCCATTTTCAAATTGGGGAAGGCTGGAACATGGACTTCCCAGCCCCAGCTTTCTGTGGTTCAACTTCTCTCCTGCCAGGAGCTTCCGAACTTCGAGAGAGGCTCGATAGATTTTTTGCCCGAATTCACGTGGAAACTCAGCATGTCTCCATTGGGGGCATGGGACTGACGAAATGTCAGCCACCCAAACCTGAGACGTCATTGTCCCACTTTTTTGCACGTGGACGAACCTGAGTCGACCAAACGCATGGTGAACATTCAACGGCAACATAGCAATCTTCCCCGAACGAGTGTATCTATGATGTGTATATATATATACATATACACATACAGGTATGTATAGATGAGTCTGGGCACAAGATGACTTGTGTCAAAAGCAACCTATTCCAAATGGCTTCCACATGTGGGTGGTCTCCATAAAGTTTCCCATACATCACCACGAGATCTCCAGTTGGGGCAATAACCTCGTCATATACTGTCGTCTGGGTTCATCCCAAGTGCTGTGCTGGAAACAATTGGAATAACACCTGAGCTACATGAAGAATGCCTGATCTGTTCTCAGGCAAAGCCAACATGCCGCGTACAGCACGCGTGTCAAGAGATTGGCATATGCAAAAATGCGGGGGATGTGATTCGATTGAAAGGGTATTGATTTTCTCGTTGATGGCCGTGTGAGCAAGTTGAGCAGCACGCGTGGACCAGGCATCAACGAAGACCAGGCAGGCGTCGTTTGCCTCAGGTCGCTCCACGTTTTGGTAGTCCAAGTTTGAGGTTGCGAGTTTTTGTTCTTTCAATTTCATCTTCAAATGTCCGGCGGAGAAAAACAAAAAAAAGCTGCTTATTTTAGAGAGATCGACGTTTCGTAGCCTTTGCACTGGACGGGCATCCCAACTGCCCGCTCCAACCAGTCCAACCATCGGGTTCCTCACCCGAGCCTCACGAGAACCCAACGAGCGAGTAATCGCATGGGATTGTTGCCCAACCATTTGGTGGAAATGTGCATGCTCAATGTATTGGGCAGCCGTCTGATTCTTACTCGCCATGGGCATTGGGTGACTTGTCTCATTGTTCTCCGCTCAGCAAAGATGCGCCTTTTGCGTCAAGCACTTGCTGGGAGGCAGTTTCGGTGGCTGCAGTTGCTTGATTCCGTGACGTTTCGTGTCCCGAACAGTATTAGGTTTAGCTGGACCCTTTGAGAGCACACTCAAACCATTTGTACGTATACAGGTCTTGTGCCATGTTCAAAAGACTCGTTTACTTGTGCTCGGGGATGGCCCTGGACCCCTAAGGATTTTGGAGAACTACAAACATAGTGAGGGGACCATTCATTGGCCCTCAGGAGTTTAGACGGTGCATGTCTTGCTTCAAAGGGTGATCCCCTTAATCTTGAGCAAGCGATTGGATCTCTGTCAGCCATTTGGCACAGGTACGAAGCTCAGCAAGGCAAGTTTAAGCTCAGCAAGGCAAGTTTCGAACACAGCTTGCACAAAACACCAAAACACAAAAACACGATGTCCAAAGGCTTGAATCACATCCATCAACCAATATCCTCACTCACTTGATAAGCAAGCGTCACTGCTCAAGACCAAAGAACCAAAGAGCAAGTGTCAGGGGTCGGATTGCGCGTTGACTCGTCAAACGACTCCGCCACGCGCTGGAGCCAATGCGGTTCGGTCAAGCTGTTTGGTAGGGTTGGAGAAATCTGGGTGACTCATATGGCTGTGGGTCAAAACCAATGGGATGCCATTTTGGGATAGGTGCACCACCCATTCTAGTCTATTTTGTGGGGATTGGGATGTTCACTGGGGGATGGCCATATATAAAGAAAGCACCCAAAACCCAAGGGGACTTCTTCGCAAAGCACGAGAAACGGCATTGGTTGACCGGTGGCCAAGGTTGCTCCGCTTAAGCCGAGAGGGTCCCCAGTGCTACGCGTCGTTTCGCGTCGTCGTTCGCGAAGCCGCGCGGAGCCATGGCGCGGTGGAAGCTCCGGCGGTGGGCCGCGGCCATACTGCCGCTGTCATGGGCCTTCCTGGGCTTCAAAGTGGTGCCTTTGGAGGGGAACCCCGGCAGTGTGGCCACGCGTTCTCTGAAAAGCACATCAAGAAAGACCCCCCCCAAAGGAAGAAAGGTACCCTTATGAGGTTGGATTCCAGGTCAATCTGTCTGAGAGGTACCTGGCTTGGACCATTTGTTGGGCAGCATTTTTGTGCAGGAGGGCGACGTTGGACACTTTTCTGCAAGAAAGTGATTCAGGAAAGCCTTCTACCGACAGTTGCAGAAATGATTGGACAAGCCAATGTCTCAGTTCAAAAAAGCTACATTGTTTGCTTCTGCAGGGAGGTGATTGAGTCTGCGAATGGAGGAACCTGGATTCTGCTCAGCTTGCATAGGCTGCGGCCTGTTTTGTGTTTGGCTTTGGCAAACATCAGTTGAATGCGTCGCCTCAAACCTGGTTTCTGCCTTTGATCATTCTTGAGTGGACTGAACAAATTGGGCGGTTGTACTCAGGAGACCTTTCTCAATTCGTCAAGTACGTGTTGCCAGACTGCGCAAACGCAGGGGTCAACAGGCTTTGCCGGAACAGCGATAGGATTATGCATTTGGTCGCAAGCGGTGGCAACCTCGGAGTTTTAAAGTTCGGAAAAGCTTCTGTGGTAGCATTGGATCACCACGGAAGCTTACGGAGCTTGATTTCGATGGCCCTTTCACTTGAGGCGACTCCACGAAAGGGCTCCAAAATCTCCGCACATGGAACAGAAACAGAGCCCTCAAAGCTTGAAAAAAGTCCTCGTGACAAATTGAAGGCTTTTTGGGTTCCATGTTGATATAGGGAGACACTGGCGCTTTGCTTGAGGAGCTGTGAGAGCTTGAAGGAGGCTTTTGGGTTTCTCTCAGGAAGGGCATGGGGGTGATCGCGGAGAAGACTTTCCAACCTGGACGCTTAGCTGAGGTTACTATTTAGGCCGGTTGGTGAGATACTCCTGGTTTGTTTGCCGTTTTGCCTGATGTTGCTTTCGAGCGACTTGCCATGCGCGAATTATAGTATCCATGATCCCTGGTGTACAATCTCACTCCCCATATTTTTGGTTTGGGTTCCACGGTTCCACGTTGGAGGTAGTCAGAATTCAAAATGTGGGGCCGTCCCACCCGGGTTTGGGACCTGACGTTGTTGTGCTCCACCTTTTCTGTGGGGTCTCCAACGATGGCCTACTTGAAGTCATTTCTAGACATGGGCACGGTTGGCGATTGCATGATCAGAATTCATTGTTGAGTGTGTCCATGTCTCAGGGCGATTCCAGGAAGTCGCTGGTGTTGATCGGGCTGCATTTTTTCCCTCGGCACGATCGCACCCCCGTCCAGATGTGCAAGATGGGCTCGTGGCATGGGGCTGGCGGGCTGAACGAAAGGTCATCTCGCACGCAACTAGGTCCCCCAGCTAGGTGCCAACTTTTATCAATTCTTTTTTGGGGGAGGGTTCCCCTTTTACCCTTCTTTGGGAAACATTCCCCTTCTAAAGTAGACAAAACCGCAAAAATCGGGTACCCTTATTCTAACGTCTCAAATCTGGAGGACCGGACCGGCAAACAAGAACATGTCCTCGAGGGCTTGAAAGGCGAAGCAGCTTCACTTCATGTGCCTGATTTCCTCTCCCCAAGATGTAACCTCTGAAATTGGCTGGTGTCCTCTTGGCTGGTCTGTAAGCATTCATTAGTCGGTGGGCTGGTCGTTTTTTCGCGGACAGCCATGATCACAATGCATCATATGTATGGATCACAGGGTGTTTTTTTTTTCCCAGTCCTCTTGGCTGGTCTGGCATTCAAAAGTGGGTGTTCCCCAGGCGGGAACCCCCGCCGGGGGCTTCTGCAGGGGACCTGGTCTACGAGGAGGCCCCGCTGCTGGTGTGGAATTCTGAGGACCGTTTCCGGGCGAAGGGTCCATTTGAAGTGACCCACGGCGGTTTCGGTTTGGGATTACCCGCGACGCTTACGTCAGATGGACCGCTCATGGGAACTGGGGAAAAAGACGCATCTCACCCCAGGACACCCGCAGATAGACTGTTGCCATAGAATCCGTTCGGTGGCGCCAAGTCCCTTTCTGGAAGCGCTCCCCTCTCAAAAAAGCCCAAAACGGTTTCTTCTTCTCTGCCAGGCTCACTGAGCTCGGCTTCGAACCGTTCTCTTTTGCTCTTTTCGCTCGTTTTGATCAGAGATGCCTTCATCTAGGCAGCCTTGATTTTAGGTATGAAGGTCATTGCAAATCTCCGAAGGGGAGCTGCCGAAGGCCCCCTTTCTGGTGGTTTCCTTATTTTCAGATTGGCAGTTATCGCCACGTATGGCCTAGAGCAATTTGCCCAGGCAGTTGCAATCACCTCGAGTTCCTTTGCTTCTGTTCCAGGTAGGTGGACTCCAACCTGTGTACAGAATATGACATGAAGGGGCTGGTGTCCTCTTGCTTCTGCGAGACCAGATAGGATTGTCTCAAGAGTCTTTACTTCTTGGATCATACATGCATACATACATACATACATACATACATGCATGCATGCATGCATGCATGCATACATACGCACACATACCGACATACACACATACATACATACATACATACATACATGCATGCATGCATACGCACACATACCGACATACACATACATACATACATACATACATACATACATACATACATACATACATACATACATACATACATACATACATACATACATACATACATACATACATACATACATACATACATACATACATACATACATACATACATACATACATACATACATACATACATACATACATACATACATACATACATACATACATACATACATACATACATACATACATACATACATACATACATACATACATACATACATACATACATACATACATACATACATACATACATACATACATACATACATACATACATACATACATACATACATACATACATACATACATACATACATACATACACATGCATGCATGCATGCATGCATGCATCATGCATGCATGCATACATACATGCATACATACATACATACATACATACATACATACATACATACATACATACATACGCACACATACCGACAGACACACATACATACATACATACATACATGCATACATACATACATACATACATACCGACATACATACAGACATCCATTTCTCCATACATTCATACATGCATACATCCATACATCCATACATGCATACATCCGTACATGTATACATTCCACATGCAGATACACTCATTTATATATATATATATATAAGTACGTACGTAGACTGATTAAGTCGTTGGTTGCTTACTCAAGCTATTCACTAACTCAATTGATTCATCAATCAAGTAAGCAAGCAATCAATCAAGTAAGCAAGCAATCAATCAATCATTCAATCAATCAATCAATCATTCAATGAATACAGACATAGCAAAGAACCAAATCAGTCAGTAAATGAGCAAAGCAAACAGAACGAATACAAATGGCTAAACACACAAGCAACACTAGCACACACACAGAAATAGATAAGTTACAGGATGCCATAACCAACATACGCAACCAAACAGAGAGTAACAACAAACACATACACAATAAGCACGTCAATTCATGAAACAGTAGATAGCTCGATGAATAATTATCCATCTGCATAACTAATCAAATGAACACATAACACCACAAAACGCATCA